GGGAGCTTCTCTGCGCAGGAACCTCAGGTCCAAAGGACGCACTCTGCTCCCAGCACTGCTTTCTTGGTGGTATGAGGTTCCCATGTGTCTCTGCTCGCTTCTCTCTTTTATATCTCAAAAGAGATTGCATTAAGACACTAATCTAGTCAACCTCATCAGTATAACCTCATCACAGTGATAGAATTTACAACACATGAGGAGATCACATATAATCTCATCATAGTGGTAGCATTTACGACACATAAGGAAATCACATCAGTTAACACAATCATACAATACTGGGAATCATGACCTAGCTAAGTTGCTACACACATTTTTGGGGGGATACAATTCAATCCGTGACAACCCTTCTCCCCACATACATTGCTGTTTTCATTTTGGTGAATGTTTCCGTGCATAGTTTTATTTTGTGTATATATTACATAGTCATCATAATACTGTAACTATAAAGTTTAGACTCTTAATTTTGTAATAATGTAAACATTATTGATTCATGCTCTTGTAATTATTTTTAAGATCAGTTTATAGTATTTGGCTGAATCTTCTTGAGGGTCAGGACTCCTGCTTTGTACCCCCAGCACCTGCTGGTCTGGACCAGTGTCAAAAAAACAGACCCGTTGCCGTTGAGTCGATTCCAACTGATAGTGACCCTATAGGACAGAGTAGAATTGCCCCACAGGGTTTCCAGCGTGTAGCTGGTGGATTCGAACTGCCGACCTTTTGGTTAGCAGCAGAGCTCTTAATCACTGCACCACCAGGGCTCCTGGACCAGTGTAGGGATTTAATAAATGTTTGTTAAATTCTAGATCTGAAAAATTAATCCATCTCCATCCCTACCTTCAAGGAGCTCATTCTGGAAGAGGACACATACATATTTTGTTTATTTATTATTAATTAATTAATTAATATAAATTTAATTTATATATTTATTCATTAATAATAGATAAACCATTAAGCGCTCAGCTGCTTACCAAAATGTTGGCACTTCAAGCCTACCCAGTGCCTTCACAGGAGAAAGACCTGGCAATCTGCTTCTGTAAAGATTACAGCCTAGAAAACCCTGTCACATGAGGTCACCGTGAGTCAGAATCGACTCGATGGCACCCAACAACAATAACAACTACACGGCAGACATTCTGGTTCTGGGAACATAGCAGTGAACAAAAATCTCAGCCCTCATGAAATTTATGCTAAAACAGTGACTGTCAGGCTCCACGGTGCGCTGAAATCACGTGGAGGGCTTGTTAAAACAGATTGTTGGGCCCCACCCCAGAGTCTGTGATTCAGTAGGTCTGGGGTGGCGTGAGAGTTTGCATTTCTAATACGTTCTCAAGTAACACTGATGCTGCTGGTCCAGGAGCCATACTTTGAAAACCACTGACCTAGAGGATAAGTTTACAATACAATATTGCCAACAGCGTGGTTGTCCAGTTTTGTGTGGGAGAAGGGCACAAGTGTGATTTATGTAAAAGCCTCTGCAACTCTTCAATTTCCGATGAAGAAGGAGAAGGCTAGGACAATGGCCTGTGTCCAGAGCCCTTGCTCCCTGCTCTGGATGCCTCTCATCTCTGCAGAACCACTGAGGCCCCGGACCGATAAGGAGGGAGGTTGGAGTGGCAGTGATGGCCTGCCATGCACTTTCCATACGTAATGTCTAGTCTTCAGAAAAACTGCAATGGGAGTATGATTCCCCCATTTTATGGATGTGAAAACTGAGGCACAGAAAGCTTATGTAACCCCCTCTGGTTCACCAAGCTGGTGAGCAGCACGTCAGGGGCTCCAGGCCAGACCGTTCTGCCTTCAACCCCATATGTTTCCACGACTCCAGTAGAGACCAGCCTGTGGTTGAGCCATCAGTGGGACCAGTTTTTAAAAAGGCTTCAGTAGTCAGAGCTGTTTCCTCTGTAGTGAGACAGAGAGTAGCAGGGGCTAGTGCAAGGCTGGAGCCTCAAGCATCCCTGTTGTGCCTGTTCCTCAGGCATGACAGCCTCTGAGAGACTCAGACTTGCGGTGGATTAGGGAGAAAGCCAGACTGGACTTCAAGGGGCTCGAGAACTGAAACAGACCTGCAGTTTGGGGGGAAATAGCTAATTGCCCTTCCTATGGGAGCAAATCTGGAAATTGACATTATTTCTCAAATGTAGACATTTGTGGACATTTAGTTTTAGTTTTAGTGCATTGAGGATTTGCATAACATGTTTAAAACTAAATGAAGAGGCCAACTTTCCTGAGCCCTTCTGAGGAATCATAGGCTGGCAGCCTTTTTTTCACAACCCTGAAGACTAGAGAAAAGTTGTCTCCTCCACTGCAGCGGGAACTTGAGAAGTTAGTACTAAAAGTCGCCTGTTCTCAGGTTCTGACATTTTAGAATGCTGCCATCTGCTGCAGTTGGCCACCTCTGTCAGATTACCTGGATTATTTCACTTTAGCTCCACATGCAAAGGTCTTCACAGATCTATGCTTTAGCGCAATGCCTTCACCTTCTCTCAAGGGTTGGGACTATAAATGGCATAAGAAAATGCCTCCCAGTTTTCTGTAATACTAAAAGACACATTTTGCTCCATGTCTTTTTAAGAGTCGCACAACAAGTCCTGTGTTCACTGCTAGCAAGATATTCCTCTCTCTTATTGACCTGGCATGTTTCCACTTTTCATTTAAGGGATGTAATAACTATTGCATTTTTCTTTTTGCCTTTGTTGCCAGGAAGCTCAAAGTTATGCTTTGTATGCAGTAGCTTCCCTTAACCCAAGTTTCTTTGGTATAATTATCACCCCACCCTTGTCATTAACTGATTCTTGCTCTTTTGTGTTTTAAAACTTTTGCTACCTATGTCATCTTTTACAAATTTCCAAAATGTCATCTTTTACAAATTTCCAAAATAATTAGGTAGATATCACAGATTAATGAGTGAAAGGTGTGATTTTTGGAATGAAAAGGAAGACTTTTTTTGTTTGTTTGAAGAGTGAATTGAGTTAACCATGGGCATGTTGTAGACAAAGACATGCTGATGGACATGTATGTACTTGGTGCCTTGAGATATTTCCACTTGCTTATGGGATTAAGAGAATGAACCTTGGCTCAAAGCAGACCTGGCATTGAACCTTGGCTATTCACTGCTTGCTTTATGACTTCAGTGTCTCTGGACCTCAGTGTCCTCATCTGAAATGGAAATAATGACACCATGCAGGGTCGTTGAAGGATTCCATGAAACAACTTATGTAAAATACCTAGTAAGGTGCCTGGCACTTAGTAAGTCTGCAGTAGATGGTAATGACTACTATTGCTATTGCTATGTTTGTCACAGACTAGACTTTGTGGAAAAACTGTGCCACAGACTTGCAACTGCTCAAGATCAGCTTCTAAATGTGCAGTGTGGAACTAAAGCAACCTTCTGCTTAAAGTCAAGGTTGTTCATCAAGGAGGGCTGCCAAAACTTGCTTCTCCTTTTGAGAGAGTAGCTCCGTGCTGTTTTGTCTTACTAATTCTCAAATGACAGCTGATGATCACTGATGGTGCCTCATGTTTTTCTGAGGTCATCCACTCAGGGGTTGGTGACTAAGACTTGGAGAGCTCGGAGGTCTCCACCTTCTTGTCAAGTGATCTAAATGTCCTTACCTGGAAAGTCCCCTAAAACCCATCTTCTAGATTTGGCTGGCTGTTGCTTGATTTTTCTTAGGCTGTTTCTTCCAATTTGTCTTTCCAGCTTAGCACTACTAAAATTAATTGCCTGGGGGGTGTTTTTTAGGAAGGGGAAGTGTTAAAGTGCCACCATATTCCATATGGGCATAAGTCCCCCTTCTTGCAGGAGCAGGGTAGTGAGAAGAAGCAGTTACCTGGTTACCTAGACTAGATGGTGTGTACCATGGCTTGGATGGTGAAGAGTCTGCCAGAGTAAACCTGCAGGCTGGGTGTGGTCTTTGGGTCCCGGCAGCATCACTGCGGCCTGTGAGCACCAAGAAACCAGAAGTCCATCAGATTTCTCCTCTTGGAGGGCTTGTGCTCATCAGCTTCTACATAGGTTAATTTCCCTTCCTCTGCCATTCTTGGTGGCATAGTGGTTAAGAGCTACGGCTGCTAACCAAAAGATTGGCAGTTTGAATCCACCAGGCACTCCTTGGAAACCCTAGAGAGCAGGTCTACCCTGTCCTGTAGGGTTGCTATGAGTCGGAATCGACTCAACAGCAATTTTTTTTTTTTTTTTTTTTTGGTTTTTTGGCTGCCATTCTTTGCCAGAACAATTGTATAAAAGAGGAAGGTCTCGGGGTCATAAAATGCCATCTGGTAGTATAAAGATGCAGACTGTCACGTCTTTCTCCCGCAGAGCCCCTGGTAGGTTCGAACCACCAACCTCTCGGTTGGCAGCCAGGCACTTAACCACTGTGCCACCAGGGCCCCTTATATGGTTATACAGTAGCCTGATTGGCAGGAACTAGGTGATTCATCAGAAAAAAGAAAAAAAAAAGAACTACCAAAATGAACTTCCTCTTTCAAACTCTGTTCCAGCTCATCCTTTTTCTAGCCTCTAAAAAACAAAACAACAGCTAGCCCTGGTGGTGCAGTGGTTAAGACCTCGGCTGCTAACCAAGAGGTCAGCAGTTTGAATCCACCAGCTGCTCCTTGGAAACCCTATGGAACAGTTCTGCTCTGTCCTGTAGGGTCGCTATGAGTCGGAATTGACTCGATGGCAGTAGGAAAATAGGGACTAAGGTAATGTTTCAAAGACAAGTGATCCCAACCCCTCATAGCCAAATGCTGTATTTTTTCTTCAGACAGCATAGTTAAAAAGCAAACAAACAAAAAAAAACAAGCCCCATGCTATCTTACAGGGTTGGGGTACAGGCACCACCCTTGATGACAGGGCACCTCTTCTAGCCCCATGTTTTTCATGTTCGAGCTGAAATACCCTGAAAGGCCTCAGGTGAGATGCCTTGGAGAGTGCACATTTTCCACTTCACGGAACACCCCGTTGACGTGTTGCCTTCATTCTTTTTGCCTCACAGATCCAGGAGGCCGCAAGTCGGGGCCTGAAATTCGTTGGTGTTATACCTCAGTACTGTTCCCCTGTGAACTCAGCAGGCAGCAGTCCTCTGGTGCCTGCTGCCAACAGCACCGCGGATCCGAGAGATGCGAGAAACGTGCCAGGCCAGTGTGGGGATCACGCCTCGCTGGATAATGAGAACCCCAGGGCTGTAGATGTGTGCAGCACTCGGGCAGGGACAGACAGAAGCCCAGAGCCTGGCCAAGATCCAAGAGGGCAGGTGCTCGCCACTGAGCAGGCTGGCTTACACTCAGAGGGAGATGGTGGCGAATTTTTATCACAGCAGATGAGTAAGACACTGAATGGACGAGATGGTGACCCATCAGAAGGGCATGAAGAGCCACTCTTGAGAAGTAAGTATGTCAGTGCCAGGACTTTTGACCACTTAAAGGTAGACTAACAGTTTTTCAGGAGGAATTGGTGGGTCAGTGGTTGAATTCTAAGGCGGGAGACCCGGGTTTGATTCTTGGCCAATGCACCTCATGCGCAGCCACCACCCTTCTGAAAGTGGAGGTTTGCATGTTGCTTTGATGCTGAACAGGTTTCAGTAGAGCTTTTAGACTAATGATGGACAAGGAAGAAAGGCCTGGCAGTCTACTTCTGAAAATCAGCCAATGAAAACCCTGTGGATCACAGTGGTCTGATCTGCAACTGATCATGTGGATGGTGCAGGATGGGGCATTTTGTTCTATTGGGAATGGGGTCGTCATGAGTCAGGGGCTGACTTTCAACAGCTAACAACAATAACAACAAAACAGTTTTTCAGTCATTCCCATGGCATTTCCCAAGAAGTGGCGTTAGAGTGTAGAGACAGCAGTCCATCAAATGGGAGAAACTTATTACCCAAGTGTCTGGGCCGCCCCACTGAGTACTTACTGAAGCTGTGACTTGTGGAGAGAGTGGAGCCACATGAAACTGACTTTTAGTTGCTCTAAAACATCGTGTTTTAAGTGGGTTCTAGAATGTGAGTGACTTTGTCCCCGTGCTCTTACATCACCCCTGAATTGCTCTGCTCTGACACAGGTAGTGTTGCTGTGCTGAGCACCAATGCAGAATGTTCATCCCCTTTTGATTAGCTCATTTTGAGTATCTGCCTAAAGCAAGAAATCAGGAAAGCCAGCTGAGGACAAATTGTGCAGGAAACTGGTGATTCAACTAGGATGTAAACAACCAGATTCCAGGGAGTTTATACAGTTGACAGATCAGCACTGTGGAGAGAACGCTCTGCCAGGGAGAGGTGGCTGGTATGTGAACCCTCTTGCTCGGGTTGTAATGGCCACTAGAGCATACATTCTAGATTGGGAATTTCGAATAACAACAGTGATGATAGCCTACATTTGTTAACACTTCCTGTGTACCAGGGCCTGTGCTAGTAAGCATTTCACGTGACTGATCTCTTTCAGTTCTCCCCATAGCCCTATGATGTGAGTGAACCCTTATTATCATTCCCCCTTTTGCTGCTGTTGTTGTTAGGTGCCATCGAGTCGATTCTGACTCATAGTGACCCCATGTACAACAGAACGAAACACTACCCGGTCCTGGGCCATCCTCACAGTCCTTGCTATGTTTGAGCCCATTGTTGCAGCCACTGTGTCAGTCCATCTTGTTGAGGGTCTTCCTCTTTTTCGATGACCCTCTGCTTTTACAGCTGAATAAACTGAGATTTAGAGAGCAAATGTATTGCCCAGGCTAGAGATTGGAAAATCCAGCACATGAAGGCTTGACCACTACCCCAAGAAGGCTTGACGACTACCCCAAGAAGGCTTGACCACTATCCCTAGAAGGCTTGACCACTCCCGAGAAGGCTTGACCACTATCTCGAGAAGACTTGACCACTATCTCAAGAAGTCTTGACCGCTATCCCAAGAAGGCTTGACCACTATCCCAAGAAGCCTTGACCACTATCCCAAGAAGCCTTGACCACTGTCCCAGCTCATCTCTCTACTTTGTTTTTCCTAGATTAACAAGATTTACTGAGGTTTTCAGTTTATGGGTAGTGAAGTTTCTCTTCATTTCCCCCATATTACCCCTTTCCCTTCTTTCTCCAGGAAATCTAGAGTCTGGCCATTTCCTGAGAACCAGGTACTAATATTAGCTGTGTGGCCTCTTCTAGCCTTTGGAAGATGAACAAGTATCAAGACTGACACTAGGCCTTCCTGGTTAGGCCTTTCTGGATCATCTCCCTGGTTAATGTTGTTACTATTTTTACTAATTCTTGAAATAAAACCCGTTGCTGTTGAGTTGATTCCGACTCATAGGAACCCTATAGGACAGAGTAGAACTGCCCCATGGGGTTTTCAAGGAGCAGTTGGTAGATCCAAAGTGCCGGCCTTTTGGTTAGCTGAGTTCTTAACCCTGGCCACCAGGGCTCCAGTTCTTGAAATTAGCCTCCTGTAAATGATGAAGAACAGTTTATACTTCAAGAATAGAAAAGAAGATGAAATAGTTTCATCGTCAGTAGTTCCTGAGAGGAATTCCTGCCTGGCACAAATGGTTAGGTGCTCAACTACTAGCCTAAAGGTTGATGATTTGAACCCACCTGGAGGCACCTTGGAAGATAGGACTGGTGATCTGCTCCTGAAAGGTCACAGCCTTGAAAAGCCTATGGAGCAGTTTTGCTCTGCACACACGGGGTCATCATGAGTCTGAATCTCCTTGATGGAAACTAACATTTCCTGAGAAGAAAACTGATGGATGGTTAATTCTGGGGGCTTATTTGCCAAGTCAGTTTAGAGGGAAGGGTTAGAGCTGCTTCAGTTCTGGAACATATTAGTACTATTGTTTAATGAAGGCCTTGGGTCCTTGCTAAATATGTACTGAAATAGAGCTCTGCAGTGGGTTTTCACACTGTTTGAGGTAAGACTTCTGCTCCGTCTACAGAGTAACTGAGAGCACATTTAGACCCTGTATGTGCCTTCTAATAAATGTCCAAGTCTTATTCCAGAAACCTCCTTCTTCTCACTGCTGTTTGGCTGGATGTATGCAGTCTGTGTCCTGAGAGGGAAGATGGGCCTCCTTGGAGCCCTTCTCTGCAGTCCAGGACCTCGGGTGGGTTAGGGTTCAGGCCAGGCATAGGCCCCTGGGAGGAAGAGGCAGTAGTCGTGAAGAGGCTGGTAGCACAGTTGTTAAGAACCTAGACTCAGGTTTATATTCCAGTTGGCCACCTTCTAGCTAAGCAGTCTTGGGCAAAAACATACTTACCTTTCTGTGCCTTGGTTTCTTACCCTATATAATAGAGGTGGAGCACTAATTTCTTATTGAAAAATTAAATGAGATGTACACTGCTGGACATGTAAGTGTGAGCTGCTTTTATTGGGGTGCAGGCCCAGTAGTTGTGACCACTGGCCTTCTGAGAAACCCTGGCTCTGAGAAAGCAGGCAGTTAATACTAAGGTTTCCCTCAGGAGTTTTCAGATACTCTTTGTGTTCCAGAATCCACCTTTCACCAAAATTCCTCCCAGACTTTCTGCCTTCTGCGGTGGACCCCAGAGAAAATTAGCTGGAGAAACTTGTCTTGGGACCCTCACCAGGTGCCCAGTACCCTCTGCTGCCCAGAGATTCCCCCATTGCTGAATGACTGACTGCACAGAAACCCCTCCACAGTGGGCCTTTCCAGCACCACAAGTGTCTTGTTCTGTGTCCTGTTTCCTCAAGCCCCTCTTTTCTAATAGAGAACTGGATCCTGCTGGGTGAATAGCGAGTTAATATGTGTGTTTCTGGAGGCGGTCAACCCAACACTGGATGGGAGTTTCAGTTCTGGTGGTAGCCAGGAGGGGGGCTGTTATACCTCCCCATGTCATGACGTAGGCAGCTGCTTGTCTGTTGTTACACACGAGGCTGGCCCTTTTCTCTCTGCTCAGGAGGTCACAGGTCTTTGAAATTTAGGCAGCTTACCATTGTTCTTTATTCCTCATTTTGTGAAATAAACAAGCCTTTGCGTTTTTTCATCAGTTAATGAACACCCAGTGGTTACTACTGGGCGTATGGCCTTGTCAGGGATGGACAGATAACAATTAGGATGATAACCATCTGTCTTAGTTATCTAGTGCTGCTGTAACAGAAATATGGCTTTAAAGAATAGAAATTTATTTTCTCACAGCTCAGGAGGCTAGAAGAGCCCTGGTGGTGCAGTGGTTAAGAGTTTGGCTGCTAACTGAAAGGTCGGCAGTTCAAATCCACCAGCCACTCCTTGGAAACCCTATGGGG